GTGGGGGGGTGGGAATCACCGTTGTCTATAACAATGGGAATGCCCATTTGATTGAGTATGTAATACTAATAGGAGTGGTGCATGTAACACATACACGCACACTCTCATATGGTATTCAAGGTGCAGCTGGAAAATCTTATTCCTGTGATTTGGAATCCTTTTGGGATCCTATAACTAGGTCTCTCTATGCTGTTATTTGGCTGTAATTGTGAGTTCTATAAAATGAGATTGGTGGCTGAAGTTTGTGTTCATTTTTTTCTTTCTAAAATTAGGATTAAGGGAGGAACAACTTAACTCTTCATATTTTGGGTTGTTTGAACTTTGAATTGGATTTTATGCAAACTGAAAATATTTGCCTAATTATGATGGAGTTGTGTTCGGGGACTTGTGCAGATTTTGTATTTCTAGTAAGAGTAAGATGAATGCATGTCAAATTTGTTAGCAACATTATGTCTGATTTGGTGGCTTTGTCAATCAGGTATTTATCTGTGAGCAGAAACTGTACACAAGGGCACAGCTGAATCAGCATATAGACACAGGTGATTCTGAGGTTGATGGTACTGAAAGTGAAAGAGGTGGATTCATGGGTCATCCTCTTTGTGAATTCTGTAGGACCCCGTTTTATGGGGATAATGAGCTGTATTCTCATATGTCGACCGAACATTATACTTGTCATATATGCCAGAGGTGCGGTTTTATGTGTACAGTAACATGATATAAGTTGGTTATCATTGATCAATTAAAGCTCACGGGGTCTTATCCATTGATTTCATGCAGGCAGCATCCTGGACAATATGAATACTACAAGAATTATGATGACCTAGAGGTGGTCTTACTATGTTATATCATCAGAAGCTTTCCCAACTTCTTTGAGTGGTGCTTTTGATGCCAATTAAAGCTGGTGTTTCTTTTCCATTTCAGATCCACTTCCGCAGTAATCATTCCTTATGCGAGGATGAGAGCTGTCTTGCAAAAAAGTTTGTTGTTTTCCAATCTGAAACTGAGTTGAAGGTTAGGATATGTTGGGCTGTGCAGATTATAAAGGGCTCCACAAAAGACATGCATACTTGCAGATTCGAATTATTGCTTTTGTGTTATTTCATAGTTTTTTCATGGACGGAGATGTTTAATTTTCCTTTATTAGATTTCATTTTTGATGGCTTTATTTTCCTGTTTAAATTTTCAGAGGCACAATACTCTAGAGCATGGAGGTCGTATGTCGCGTTCCCAACGCAGTGCTGCCTTGCAGGCAAGTTTCAATTCTGTCCTTGAATAAAGGAATTAAGCAATCTTCTCCTAAAACCCCAGGGGAAGATGTGCTCATGGTGCCTCATTTATTTGAGTTTTCCATTGTGTTTATCCTGACATTTCATTCTGAGCACTATGTTGGAGTCATGTGAGTTATATTTTTTTCTGTCTATTTTTATACAGATACCAACAAGTTTTCGATATCGCCGCAGTAATGAACAGGATAGTCGTCGAAGGGGACGATCTTTTAGGCGTGATAACTCTGAGAATGAACTCGTCATGGCCATTCAAGCCAGTTTAGAGGCTGCTAATGCAGATGGAAGACCACGTGATACGTCAAGCAATAGGAGGGTAGTTTCTGATCTCGCGGAAACAAATGATGAAGATTTCCTTATTGCATCCTTTGAATCTTTGGCTACAGATTCTGTTGAGCCAGCTTCAAGATATCGTCAAGCTGTGTCACAAGCTTCCGGAAATTCACAGCTTCAAGAGTCTTCATTTCCTCCCCTTGCTGTGCCTGTGCCTCCTGCTAATAATCAACCAAGGCCTCAGTCTGATGCTTTACCCAAAAACACCATGGCATCCCGTCTGCGCGGAAAGCAAAACAAAACTACAAAGCCTTCTAGTTCATCTCCAGCATGGCCAGCAACCGGTCACACACCCCCGGTAATTGGTCATCAGCGTGCCTGGCCCGTGGTAAGTAGTGCTTCTGGGTCTTCGTCTAGTTCCAGGCATAGTAAGGCAGCAACTGACAACCCTTCTGCACCAGTAATTACCCGTCAGCATGCTTGGCCTGCTGTTAACGGCGCTATTGGATCCTCATCAGGCTCTAGCCAGATTAAGCCGCCATCATCTAGTTCCAGGTATAGTAAGGCAGCAACTGACGACCCTTCTGCACCAGTAATTACCCGTGAGCATGCTTGGCCTGCTGTTAATGGCGCTACTGGACCCACATCAGGCTCTAGCCAAATTAAGCCATCAACAGTAGATGGGCCTCCACCATCTAGTTATTTAAGTTCTGTTGCTGCTCGATCTTCATTAGTTCATGAAGCTTGTTCTAGTTCCGTTGGTTCGTCAAAGAATTGGTCCCAGAGCAATAGAATTAGCCATTCCACATCAGCCCCAAACCTTGTTCAGAGTGGGTCTTTTGACTCTTCTGCCTCTGATTTTCCTCCAGTCTCTGCTGCGCAGACTCGCAAACTTCCTGCAAGTGGCCAGCAGGCAGTCACGAATGTGGAAGATGTTCAGACTGCAAATAAATCTTTGGTAGAAAGGATGCGTCTTGCTCTACAATTTGATCAAGACAAATTCGCTGCATTTAAGGACATCTCTGCAGAATATCGTCAAGGTTTAATGGATGCTGAGACGTATCTGGCATATGTCGAGCAGTTTGGCTTGTCACACCTCATTCTTGAGTTGGCTAGACTATGCCCTGACGCAGAGAGGCAGAAAGAACTAATTGACACCTTCAATGCTAATTTAGGAGGCACCATCCCTATACAGAATTTTCAAAGTGGTGGCAATCAGTTTAAAGATGGTTACAGTTCTAAGAAAGGTAAAGGTAAGTCATTAGATGCTGGAAATGGCACTTCAAAGGGTAACGTTGCTGATAATATTATAAGTACTGTCAGGAAATTGCAGTCCAGTCACAAGATTCCTGAAGATGATGTGGAAGTGTTGTCAAAAGATGGGTATCGTTCTACTAAAGGTAAATCAAAATTGACTCTGAGTGAATCAGAAGAACTGAATTCCCGAGGTGAACCCTTAAAGCTGCAAGCCCGTCAGAATGGCTTGTCTGCCAGAGATGAGTCGAATCACAGTTCAGGGAATAATGATGGGAAAAGCAAGCAGCGGAAGAAAACCTCAAAGTTTCACAGAGTTCGCTTAGGTGATGGATCTGTTGAAACACTTTTAAATCTCAAAAGTTCAGACCCTGATGCGGATCCAGATCGAAAAGAGACATCAGATGAGCAAAGTGACCCTCCTGAAGGTTTGCCTGTGCGTGGTGTTTGGAGAAATGGAGGAGGTCATAAGCTTGTAGCAATGACTTCAAAAGGTCCGAAAAAGTGATGCAACAGGACGCGCAACTTTTTGGCTTGTAGGGTAAGCTTCGGATTTCCTCTCCTTTGAACATATTCTTTTGATATTGACGCTAGGTGGCAGGCATTTAAAGTTGCTCTTTTGGTGAAATGTGTTAAGGATGGTCTTGATAGTGGAGCAACTTTACCAATGAACTGGCTCATCTATGTATTGATAAGGTTCCAGCCCCCTGGAAGCCTAAATATTTATGGTTGTCAGACACAGCAGTTGTGCAATATCCGGGCTGTGGTATTTTTTCGTTTCTTTTGTAGTTCCAACCCCTAAAGATGTTCCCTGAAAGATTGGTTCTTTTTTTAACTGTATATTGACATACTAAATACAAGGATAAAGTGGTTTTGCTGATCGCGTTTCAGTGCCATTCTACTTTTTGCGAGTATAAAGTTTATGTTTTAGAATTTTTTTGCGGTGCATCTAAAAGTCATTGAAGCATTTATAGGTCAAGCTCTAAATCATCAACCAAAAGAAACAAAGTCAAAAGAGAAATAAATATTGATCTGAACACACAGCTCATGCCATCAGGAGAAACACATACACAAGGAAAACGAGCTACGTGACAGTTTCACAAGACACAACTCATGCCATCTAGCATTGAAAATTTTCTCTGTGGAAAACGGAGAATATAACGATAATTAATGTAATATTATACCCAAATCAATGCGAATCCCCCAATTCAATAGCTAATGCGAAGCTGGCGGAACTCCTTGACTACAAGAAAAAGCATTTTCTTTTTTCTTAAACATATCTGGTTAAACACTATCATATAATGAAACGAAGAAAGTAAATAGTAGTAGTATTTATTGAGAGGTGCTAGACCTCATTGTATCCATATAATTTGCAATAAATATGAAAATACTTAATAAAAATTAATACATATATCAAATTTTATAGCAAGAAATAGTATGAAGTGAACAGTGAAGTTTGAATAAAGTATAGTTGACAAATATAATAATCGATCGAATCAACATCCGGGTGGAATGACAACTCCAACTCGCACAACACAGGCATTGCTAATCAATCTAATGCGTGAAAGAAAGAAGAAGGAAGAGCAATCTAATGTGCTCCTAGTAGCATGAGCACCTGTAATACATGAAATGGCAGATCTGTAGTTTAGATACAAATTTTAAGGGTGTAAGTTAAGTTTTAGGGTTTTACTAACTTTAAAATAGCTTTGACATTTGAAGACAGGAGAACGCTTTCAACTTGGAGTAATATTGTTCTAGCCTGTTTCGCTTCTGAAAAGTTAAAAGTGTTTTTTTTAAAAATATTATTTTAAATTAAATGTGCTTATTTAAAACTCCGCCCGTGTGAGCTTGCTTACATGGCCAATCCCAAGACCAGATAAAGGGGGAGGATTGCGGTAGGTTGACAGCCAGCATAAAACTTATCAATTCATGACACGCCGATTCTAATTTGTTTGAGGTTGAGACATAGTTATTCTTGTATTCTAAATGTGCTTATTTTAGAGAGTTGAAGTGTATCAGATACTTAAAAGATTAGATATTCCCTAGAAGCAGTTTTGGAACCTAATCAAGCACAAATTAATGTTCTAATATTGCAAAAATACTTTTTAAATTGATTAGTCAAATACAAACGACTCTTCAAAAGTACTTTTTCAATAAACACATTCAAAATAAGAAGGTTTTGGAAGCTAAAGTGTAGTTTCTATACTACTTGAACTTCATTCACAATTTTCTTTTCCTCCTTAAGGGAGTGGGTGGGTTTCAGAAAATTATTTAAGTTCACGCTAGAGAAAAGTGACTGACAAAATGAGATGTTGATTTCCAATTTAATGTTGTTAGCTGTTCCTTGCTAATTTAGTTTTATAAAGGAAAAATCTTCTTAACTATGTTGCTACCCTAAAAGAAGAAAAAAAGGACAAAAATTACGATTAGTTATTATCATCAGCCGAAAGGGAATAAAAATGTCATTTGCATAAGTCATAACCAACAAGGTAAGTCGAAGGAATCAATTTATCAATAGGATCTCCTTATGTAATATACTCCCGTAAATCATAGTATTGATCATTACGTATGATTCAAAAATATCTCTAATTCTCTATTTAATTCCAAAGGTTGAAATACTACTCAAAAACATAATGAGACGCAAAATAAATCGTAACGGTGCCTAAAAAAACGAGAGGGGAATTTAAAAGAATAAAGTATATATAAAATCCAGGATTTCTAGCATTTCTGTTAGAAAAATCTGTTTTCCGAATAATTACCTGTATGATAATCTCAAGAAGTTCTTAACTTCTTTTCATCTCAATATTATATTCACTTAAACATAAATGCCTACTTTTATTTTGTTATTTAAACTTCTATAATTAGGTCGATATCACTACTATTAGATTGTTCGTCTTCGAAGTTGATTTAGATAATATTGCAATAAAATCGGAGTATTCAAGTTAGGCCTAAATTTATCCCCCTTGACTTAACCACCAGCATTGCTCTTTCCACTTTATTTATTTATTTTGCATATGAAGAATCATAATTTTCCCTATTTTTACTTGATGTTAGATCTTCACAGTTTGTATTCCATAATTGAGTTTTTCTTTTACCCTCTTTAGTCATTTTATTTAAACATTTTATCTTGTTTAAGTTGATTTTAAAGAACATGTCATATGAAAATAACATGATGAAATATTATTATTTTAAAACCTCTTGTTTCATCCAACAAAGTAATTACCTGCAAAACATGTCATATGAAAATAACATGATATATTATCCTTTTTCTCATTTCAGACGAGATTTTACAAATTTGATTTCCTGAAGTTTTCTATTTAAGTCATTAACTCAATATTGTTTTCCTTTTCACTTGTCATAAAACATCTGTCTCCATAGTAGATTTATTTCCTATTAAGATCAATATGTAGCAAATATTTACTTAAGCTATCAAATAGGATAAAATCCGACTCATTTGTTTCATAAAAGGAGATAAACTTTAATTTTGTTGAATCGATTTGACACGGATGAAATAGATTACTATACTGAATGCCTACTACTACTAATAGTTTAATACTACTATTACTACTTTGTTAAGTATTAATTTAAACTCCAAACCTTAGGTAAATATCATCATACATATTTGTAAATTCATCTGTCAAAGCTAATTTAGGTCATTTGCACTAAAAACCAATGGAATATTCAAGTTTTACATCTTGCTTTCACACATGTATATGTAGCCTCTCTAAATTCTAGTTTGACAAATTGAAAAAAATAAATAAATTATGTATACTGATAAAATATGTAATATTTTTTTTTACAATATTAATTCAATTTAAATTTTGATATAACAAATTCTGTCGTTCTACTTGATATAAAAAGTTACTACCAGTTATTTTACATCAACATAACTTAAACTTAAAAATAAAAGGAAAACTTTAAAAAAGAGGCTTAGACCATCACCACACCTATAAATATCCATTCTCTTCAATATTATTTTATAAAACAATTCTCTTTACCTTCTTTGTGTTCTTAACCTCTGCTTCTTCATCTTCATCTTCTACTTATTATTTGTCAAACGTAATTGTGAATTCAACAGCTGAGTTTATTAACCATACAGCAATATCCGAATTTCGGATACTGAACCGAAGAGTTTTAGCCAAATGCCCCGACCCGAACCCGTATCTCAGTATAACTACAGCCTCAAATTCAAGCCTTTCTGATGAAGGCTTTGTTACAGTTCATGTTTCTGGTGTTTTGCTTCCTTCAAAAGGCGATTGGGTTGGAATGATCTCTCCTTCATATGCGGAGTAAGTTAAAAAAAGAAATTAAGTTATATATACTGACACTATAAATATTAGTAAATTATTATTGTAGTTTAACATGCGATAACATATTAATTAGTACTATTAATTTTACCAAATTACCAGTTAGTGTTTAATACTGTTTATCATAAAAAATTACCTATAATTACATTTTAAATGGATTGTGTAACTTTTTTTAACATTATCCGTGCATAGAAAACTTTAAATAAAGAAAAAAGAGACTATGTTTTAATTTAAATTCTATTAGACGCTATATTCAATAGCGTGTTCTGTTTTTCTGTAGTATGAATGTAGATTATTGTTGTTGAAAAAATTTCTCTTTTTCCCGAATTAGAAGAATTATGATTACCTTTTATCATGATTTTCAAAAGTACCTTTAAATTATATATGAATATTTGAGGTTCATAACATGTTTTCCTTTATTATTGCCGGTGGGTCATTAGTAAAGCTTTACCAGCAAATAAGAATTCAAAATATGAATACGTGATGGAGAAAGACATAAAACTCAACCAAGTGGTCCAGTACTTTTGACGAAGAGAAAGTATACTACTTATTATTTGCAGTGTAAAGAAAAGAACATGTGAACAATGGAAGAAGTGATATGAAAATATATGTTCTTTATTTGTTACTTTTATTGTGTTCTCTTTTATAGTTAGGATATTTATTGTATTGACATTTCGGTTGTTATACCCCTGTTTTCAGCGTATCAAGTTGCCCTTTTAACGCCATACAATATCAACAGACTGGTGATCTCTCTCAACTTCCACTCCTTTGCCATTATCCTGTCAAGGTATGTTCGCTATAATAAAATTTCAAATTATATATATACAATCATATCACACTATAACAACATTCCTATATAACAGTTATTCACTATAAAAATTAATTTTTTTCTCGTAATCGATTTTTATATTATGTTATAATATATGTCGTCTGGAACAACACTTCACTATAGCAGCCTAAAAATATCAGATCAAACGAAACTATTATAATGCAGATATTATTGCAAATGTATATTACAATCTTTAAAAATCACTCAATATGGAAAAGATAATAATACTAGAAAAAAGGATGAGAGATGAGAGGTGAGAGATGAAACAAACAATGTGGGAATTATGTGGTAATTGGTAAAGTAGTGGGAATATGCCTACCACTTAAGAGTAGAGCATTTAATAAAGTGTGGGAAGTGGTCTCGCACCCATAAGCGTACGTACCACATTGAAATTGAAATAAATAAGTCATGCAATACCGCCTCCTTAACTAACTATGCATATATTTCGACTTACATTCATTCGCCCCCACTGCCCACCTTTCATTTTTGATCATCATTTAATACGTTCCCATTTTCTATGCCACCCTCTTGTTAGGACATGTTATAATGGGCCGAACTGATTTTTGACGGGTCAAAATAAGTTGAAGTCAATAAATAGACAGATTAATGACCTACTCAAAAATTACTTTGCCTGATATGAGCTGGATCAAGATATGTTAAAGTTTGGGTTATAGCCCAACCTACTCAACTCTTATCAAATTTTAGTTAATGTATGTTGTTTTCTTATGAATTATTTAATTATCAAATAAGACTTCTTTTTCTTTTGTTATGATTATATATAACATATCAAACAAAACAGAATTATTTTAAAAATATTTTAGCAAAATTGTTCATGGAATGGACTGAATCAACCCAACTTTAGATAGACTGAAATGGACTGAATCAAGATGGATTGAGTTTACAATGAGTGGGTTAATGAGCAGCCCAACCTTTGTCGGGTTCATGGATAGGTTTGGGCTTAAATTGCCAAACCCTATATATCATCTTCACATTGATAACCTTTCGTGATTGATTTGATGGACGATCTTTTTTCCTAAGAAATATCCTCCGTTATCAAAGTAATTTGTGCGGAACGACTGTTTTACATTATCAAAATTGAATGTAATGCGTTTGGTATGATTCAGGTCATTATTTATTTAATAGGATCTTCTAAAAATATTTTCTTGAAAATGTGTCCCACATTTGGCTGGTGAATGGAAATTTTTTGAACGAAGAATATATATATGTATAAATTAGTAATAATATTAATAGATCGGAGAGTGTTCTGATAAAATTTTGAGTACTAAAAATTAATAATAATATCTAAATTTAATTATTGTTACTTGTTAGTTAGAATAATATTATCAAGTTATTGTAAGCAAACATGACTTCTACCATAAGCGCTGGCAGTAATGGAAGCCATTTTTTTTTGATGGAAAATATTTTCCTTGACAAGTGACTTTCATTGTACCAAAAAATATCTTAATTATGGTAAAAAAATATTCTCTTTTGCATACCAAACACACTCTACATTGTGATTCACGCAACAACCTGAGTGACATCATCCGTTTGAGAATATGTCATAAGATAATACTTATATATTTAGACAAGGCGAAATTGACATTTGTTTCATGTATGTTTCATGCAGGACTCACTCCTTGAGTTATATAATTTCCAGGCATTTAAATTGATTTTTGTACATTTTCGCTCTTGGATTTCAGATAAATTTGAGTTCTTTCATATTTTATAATTTTACTTTTATTTATTTTTTTTAAAAATAAAATTTCTTCGAGCTAAATGTCACGCACCCCATATAGTAGGTAAAACGTATCAACGTCCACTGCCTTCCCCTACCTTTTAAAACCATGATCTTAATTAGCTAGTTCGTTTAATTTTGTGTAAGAATTTGTAGATTCTTGTAGAATATTTTTCCTATCTTCTTTAAATAGATATCCATCCGACTATTGGAATATAGATAATTCAACTCTATACACTTAATTTCTCTTCCGTTTGCACCACGTCTTGTTAGTTTCTCTTCGAATTCATTGTTTAATCTTTAATTTATGCATATTTCAAATATGTTAGTACCTTAATTATTTAGGGTGCGGAATATGACAACTCATCCAATTTACAGGAACCAAGCTTATTAAAAAGTTTGGTCTTTAATTTGTATTGTTTCTTACTTTTTTAATTTGAAAGATGATTTGGTTATTATGACAGGCACAATATTTAAGCAAAGATCCAGGTTATCTAAGATGCAAGAAGAAAGAGTGCAAGAAATATGTGAAGGGTTCTTGTGTTGAGAGAAGTTGTAGCGCCTCACTCTCATTTCACGTTGTTAATTTTAGGACTGATATTGAGTTTGTCCTCTTTGCTGGTGGATTTGCCACACCTTGCATACTCAAAAGATCAAACAAATTGAGTTTCACTAACCCTAAACAGCCTTTAAATGGCCATCTCTCAAGCATGGACTCAACAGGAACTTCAGTAAGTACGTATATGCATATTAAAGGGAAACGTTCCTTATTAGAAATTTCTTCATTATAGAGTTCAAGCCCGAGACATCTGGTCAAGGGTAGAATCATCTTATCTAATCTCATCCAACAAAAATAGTTGTGTTTCTTGTTATATATGGAAGGGTAAAAAATTGTAGTTACAATAATGAGCCCTATTTCTTATTTTGATTCTTTGGTTCGTTTTAATACCATAAATAATGTTAGTTTGACCATTTGCTTTTTTTTTTCCCTCTCCTACATTTCATCAAATTTAGTTGAGAGTAACATGGGTTAGTGGGGATAAAGCACCTCAACAGCTGCTGTATGGAAATGGAAACTCTGAAATATCAAAAGTTTCAACTTTTACCCAAAAAGACATGTGCAGTAAGTTTCTTCTTCCAATCCCTATTAATTTGTTTTTTTTAAAATTTTATCTGACATGTGTTTTAACTTGTAAGTGGATGAACAAAACCACAATAATGATTTTCTTTTCATTTTAGTTAAACTTAATTAAGCTTATAATTACTAACATCTGTGATGAGTGATTGACAACTAAATAGTTATACGAATAAGATAACTTCATTGCTCGGTACAACTTATCTATTGCCAAGTAAGCTATATGGTTAAGGCTTAAATGAGCTAATTAGCTAATTATATCTTATGGTTGTTGATTTTCTCTAACACTTCATGTTATCAAGCATCAAATTTATTGCCTTTCATCATCATTATATTAATTAGTTTTTGAGCTAGAAAAGCAGAAGCGGGTTCACGCTAGAAAATCACATTCTATATACAAGTTCAAATATATAATATTTGTATATAGAGTAGATATTGAATCTTGGTAAAAAATTTGGCTCTGCCACTAAATATAACCAATATCCACGCTAAAATTCTGTAATTTTGCATGCCCTTTTTGGGCCTAATTTCTTGTAGGAGTTTAAAATTGATTTTTTTTTTGTTTTTTTGGGTAAATCCGAAGGTGCTTTTCCAAAAAGTCCAGCCAAGGACTTTGGGTGGCATGACCCAGGCTTTATTCATTCAGCAGTAATGACAGGACTTAATCCTTCAACCACATACTCCTACACATATGGAAGGTATATATAAGTCATCTCAAAATGAATGTTTGGTTGTCGGATAAAATTTTAAAAATAAAAAAATAAAATATCAATTACAATTTTTGACAACTGTAATCGAAAAATTGCGACTATTGTTTTAAAGTCGAAATAAGTAGTCGAATAAGAGCGACTTTTTAATAGTGAAAGATATTTTTCGGTGAAAATATTTTCTTTCCACCAAAAGGGAGATGATTGTCCTCACTTTTAAACGAAAGTCACTTTGTTTCAAAATTATCCTAACTCTTAACGAGAAACATTTCTTTAACTAATATTTAGACGTTAAATCAATCTTCAATACTCAAAATTACATCAAAACACTATTCAGTTTGCTAATATAATTATCAATCTTCAATAAGTGTTTTTCTGTTTGAAAAATAATTCCGATCATATATACCAAACATATATACACGGATATTTTTCTTGTCATTTCCCAATATATGCTAGCTACTACATGTTTTTCGTTTTTTGCTAAACAAATGCAGTGATTCAGCTGGTTGGAGTGGGAAAATAAACTTCAAAACACCACCTGCTGGAGGATCAGATGAGGTTCGATTTCTGGCATATGGAGATATGGGAAAGGCTCCTAGGGATCCTTCTTCCGAACATTATATTCAGGTAATAAAATTAGTCATATGTCACGTACGGTCGCGAATTTTATTTATTATAACAGTAAAGTCACAAACTCTTTTTTGTTACATTAAGGTACATGAATACCAAACTTTAAATAATTTATACATAGTACAATTATTTTAATGTAGCCAGGATCTTTGGCGGTGACGAAGGCTATGGCAGATGAAATATCATCGGGGAATGTAGATTCCATATTTCACATAGGCGACATAAGTTATGCCACAGGATTTCTCGTAGAGTGGGATTACTTCCTTCAACTAATCACTCCAATTGCTTCTCATGTTTCTTACATGNATATATATATATATATTCATTTCCATCAGAGATGCTTTTCCGAAAGTAAGTCATTTTTTGGTGTTTGATTGTCACAAAATATTTTTCAAATTTTTGGGCAAAAAGTCGTTTTTCTTCATAATTATCTCTAACTCTTCATATCATTCCTTTAACTGGCCAACACTTAGTCATTAATATTACCAATCTTTAATACTTAAAATTTTCATTAAAACACTTTCCAATTTGTTAAATATTTTTATCAATCTTTAATCCTCAGAAAATATTTTTCACCCTTTCACCACATACAAAATAAATTATTTTCGAAAAATATTTTTTAAAAATAACTCCCATCATATCAAACACTTCCAAACTTTTGTAACTTTTCAGCAAGCATGGCTATCCTACAATCTTATTTAGTGAAAGATGCTTCTTTTGCCACGAATGTGCTAGAGAAGGTTATATCCTAATAAGTCGGGATAGGAGCGATCAAATAAACAGTAATTCATCTTTGCATAAATGAAGAATGAGTTACTTACTCACAGATTGAAGACTTAAATACTAAGAAAAGATCCTTCCGAAACATAAATGCCGAGAGCATTCAATAAATCTTCTCTTCCTCTATCAACCCCAACCTCGATTTAGTCGGTCATGGGCTTCCCTCTGCCAAGAATTGAGAGAAGATATTATTTCACTTTTACTCGGTACACAGATTCAAATTAGTCAAATAAAACTAGACGGATCAACTATCTTACTCACAAAAAAAGTCAAGATCTTGAAATTTTCATAAATTTTATAAAATAAACTTTGGTTGGGGGAGGAATATGAACAATGTTCTTATCCTTTAAGTTCAAAAACATTCAGGGATTATGTAGGAACAGGATCAGTGTATGGAACACCAGATTCAGGGGGAGAGTGTGGAGTGCCTTATGAAACTTATTTTCAAATGCCAACTGCAGCAAAGGATAAGCCATGGTACTCCATTGAACAAGGAAGTGTTCACTTCACAGTTATTTCAACAGAGCATAATTGGTCTCACAACTCAGAGCAAGTATAATTCACCATCCAGTTTAGCTTTTTTATACTTGTTATTAATTCCTATTTATTTGCAGATTCTAATTTACTAACTTCTTACCAAAAATATAAATTAATGATCTCTAACAGTATGAATGGATGAGGAAAGACATGGCTTCAGTTAATCGATCAAGAACTCCTTGGCTAATCTTTACTGGGTAAGTGAATATTCTTCATGCAACATTTATCGCCTGTAATTATTTTATAAGTGATCTAATTATATAAAATTTTTTTACACTATCAGAGCTTATAACTTAAACTCATTTATATAATAGGAGTACTATTTAGTTCAAGATCAATATAGAGTTTTACTATATTAAAGTACTCTTAACATGTAACATGTTGGTAAATGGTAATTATGCTAGTATTTCTCCATCTCGATAAATTATACCCAATTTGACCTATTAAGGTTAAAACATTTGAATTGATTATCATACTGAACAGCTTAGAATCTTAAATGCTGAATACATCAAGTTCAAATCTTGAATCAACTTCTAATACTATTGTAGTGATCTTATGTTAATTTCTTCGTAGGCATCGACCCATGTATTCGTCAGTTAATGGGGTGTTTCTTAAAAGTGTTGATGATGATTTTGTCAAAGCTGTTGAGCCTCTACTACTGGCAAACAAGGTATGCATCTTACGCTATTAAATTGAACTTGTGCACACTCAAAGTTCAAAAACATTTACACTCTAAATGACTAGTTCAAATATATTTCTTGTTGAGTATTTATTGACACTTAGAAATATGTGTCAGGTTGATCTAGCATTATGGGGACATGTTCATAATTATGAGAGGAGTTGTGCAGTATATCAGAAGGAATGCAAAGCATTGCCTACTAAAGGTGCAAGTGGAATTGATACTTATGACAATGCCAATTATACTGCACCAGTTCATGCTGTTATTGGAATGGCTGGCTTTAGCTTGGACAAGTTCCCTTCTGATGTAAGCCTAGTCTTGCGCAAAATAATAGAATTTTATTTACTATAACACTAAAGTCACAAAATTATCACATTAAAGTAACTAACTTTTTCGGTACACACAGGCTGATAAGTGGAGTTTGATAAGAATAGCCAAATTTGGATACGTGCGAGTTCATGCAACAACCAAAGCATTGACAATTGAAGTAAGTGATACAAACATGGACTTGTGCATTTTTTGTTACACAATATATGCACGTCTTAGAATTTTCTAAATTTCTCTTTTCCATTTTGCAGTATGTAAATGCAAATACTAGAAAGTTGGAAGACAGTTTTCAAATAACCAGAAGCTGAACAAACAAGAGATGGAAAGAGAATACAATACACTAGCTAGTGCAGTAAAATTATGTTACACAAAGTATAGGGAGAGTTTATTCAAATTCATATAATACTGTCATACATACACATTGACAGTTTTTTATTCTCTTACATTTAGCAACAATAATTGTCTCAATAATTTAATTTTTAGCTTATGCGCTAATTATTCTACTCCTTCTCGATCGAGACCTTTCTTTAATTTGTTGATATTCACTGGCTACAATATTTTAATTGGGCTCGAGAACTCCCGTGTAAGTTGGGTGACACTAAATTTGCTGGGTCGAGAACTCCAATAATTTGTATTTTTAATAAAAGTACTTCATTACTTTATTCACACTATTAATGTTTAGGTTGAATGCTCAGATTCTTTCACATAGCAACATAATTAACATTTAGTAAGCTCATTTTTTCGCTTATAAGTGTAACGACCCGACCGGTAGTTTTGAGTTCTAGCACGTCGTTCGACGGTTTGAGGCCTTGAGTAGCTTCACTTCGGGTATTATGACTTGTACGTGTGGTCGGAATTGAATTTCTGGAAGTTTGGAGTTGATTTGGAAAGAAAATTCTAATTTTGGAAGCTTTAAGTTGGAAGAATTGACTAAGGTTTGACTTTTGAGTAAACGACTTCGGAATCGAAATTTGAAGGTTCCAACAAGTTCGTATGATGATTTTGGTCTTAGGAACGTGTCCGGATGTCGATTTGGAGGTCCGCAGGTCATTTCAGCATCAATTGGCGAAAGTTGGAAATTGAACGAGTTTGGAAAGTTTGACCGGGAATGAACTTTTGATATCGGGGTCGGATTCCAATTCCGATTCCGGAAGTGGGAGTAGGTCTGTAATGTCAATTATGACTTGTTTGCAAAATTTGAGGTCAATCGGACTTGATTTGATAGGTTTCGACGTCGAATGTAGAAGTTTGAAGTTCTAAAGTTCATTAAGTTTGAATTGGGGTGCAATTCGTAGTTTTAGCATTGTTTGATGTGATTTGAAGGCTCGCCTAACTTCGTATTGTATTTTGGGACGTGTTGGTATATTTGGTTAAGGTCCCCAGGGCCTCGAGTGAATTCTGGATGATTAACAAATTAAGTTTTGGACTTAAGAAATGCTGAAGCTGGGCAGCAACTGGTGTGATCGCTTCTGCGATGTCTTGATCGCAGAAGCGAGGTTGAGCTCGCAGAAGTGAAATGGGAAGGGGCAAGGCAGTGGTCGCAGGTGTGAAGATCTCACATGTGGAATTTCAGAAGCTAAAAATGAAGACACAGAGGCTGCTGGTCCGCAGATGCGCAATTGGCCATCGCAGAAGTGCCTGCGCTGAAGCAAAAACGCTTCCGCAGATGCAAGGTCTCAGCTGAGTAGTGTACTCCGCAGATGTGCATTTTGGCTTGCAAAAGCGAGGCCGCATATGCGCAAATATGTCCGCAGAAGCGAAAACTGGGCAACACATAACGGGATCGAACTTGGGTCATTTCACCATTTTCATTTGGGATTTTTGGACCTCGGTTCTTAGGCGATTTTGAGAAGTTTTCATCATGTAACACAAGGTAAGTAATTTTCCACTTGTTGTGAGCTTAATGTAAGACTTATATGTGGATTCAAGGAGGAAAATTTAGGAAAATTGTGGGATTTTGGTAGAAGACCCAGAATATAAAATTTTGGATTTTGACCACGACTTTGAAAATGGAATTAAGAATAAATTACATATATGAGTTAGTAATGTTATGGGTATGGTTTATCTTCAAAAAATTTCGGAATCCGGGCACTTAGGCCCGCAGGTTGACTTTATTGACTTTTCGAGCGAAATTGAGAATTGTTTAAATTGATTAATTATGGGTATTAGAGTATATTTTGATTAGTTTGCACCTTGTTTGACTAGCTTTGGATCGACATGTATCGGTTTGAGGTGTTAGAGAGGCTTTGGAGTTGGTTATGGAATTTCAGAGCGAGGTAAGTATCTTGTCTAACATTGTGAGGAGAAACTACCCCTAGGTGATATTTATTGTTATGTGAAACTAGTTGCGGGTGTTATGTACGCACGAGGTGACGAGATTCCGTACGTACCTAAAGCATGTTTATGTCTGTGCAGACTTAGGATCTTATTTTGTAATATTTGAATTATTTGAACTCATGTTGCTAGCTTAATTAATTGAGGTTATAAATGAAATTGATTTAGAAATAAACATTTGTATACCAGGCCAAGCCTTAACACTTTGAGTAGTGCGCAGATTATTTGAGAAGCGGTAAAGATTATATTTATTTTGTACCCATGTACGGTATTGTAAACACTTATCTCGTAATTCGGTAACTTTCTTCCTTTTCTTGTGGAGCGGGCCAAATGCCTCGGCAGTATATAGATGCATCTATAGTTAGTGCCGCACAACCCTCGGCAGTGTACACATTATTTCGGATCGGACCGAACGACCTCGACAGAATCGTGCGTTATATCGCTAGTAGTCCGACTATTCACGAGCGAGTCTTTCCACGGATGCCCGACATTTTATGGTATTTATTATATATTTGGTATTAACACTTGGCATTTTTTGAGATATTATGGTAGAGTACAAGATCGAAAAGTTTATGCTTTAAAAGAAATAATTGGGAAACCATGAGATTACAGATTTACTCTACTATTGCCTTGCACTTCATATCTGTCATGAATTATTATACTATTTATTTAGACCTCTAGTAAGTGTCGATGTCGACCCCTCGTCACTACTTCTCCGGGGTTATGCTAGATACTTACTAGGTACGCGTTGATTTACGTACTCATGCTATACTTCTGCACTAAATGTGCAGGATCTGACATGTTCATTGATGATCACCTTAGTGCGTAGGCGCACCTGTTGAGGAGACTTCACATGAGCTGCATATTAGGCTACGCAGCGTATTCCACCGAGTCTCCATTATACTATTTATTTTATTCTGTCTAATTACATTCAGGACAAATATTGTATTATTATTGTACTCCTTAAAAGAATGCTCATACACTTGTGACACCAGATTTTGGTGGTTCCTATGGGTTGTTCGTTATTGTAGTTGTGTAAATTCTAATTCATACGATTTAATTAAGGAAAAATTATGATTTCAAAAAAATGGATAATTAAGTTGATCAATCACCGTTGGCTTGCCTGACGGCGATGTTGGGCGCTATCACGACCTTTAGTGAATTTTGGCTTGTGATAGCTTGGTATCAGAGCATTAGGTTCACTTAGGTCTCTTAAATCATGAGCAAGTCTAGTAGAGTCTTACGGATTGGTACGAAGACGTCTGTATTTATCTTCGAGAGGCTACAGTGCTGTTAGGAGCACTTCCCTTCTTGATTTCCTCATCGTGCGATTTGATTCCATTGAGGCTGGTGCCTTTGTTACCTTCCTACTCAATCTTATGCGGCGTGAAGCGCTTGTTATCAATTAGGCGCTGAGTAGTGGTATTGATCCTGTGGACGTGGTGCATGATGTTTTTCCATACGTGTTCGGGCATGCTATTATCGTCGCCTTGCGGAAGGGTGTTCTGTAATTTCAATTCAGTATCGGTACTTCCTATGGTTTTGAGGTTATGCACAGATTGTTATGATGTTCATGCGTTGTTATCGCACAATGTTGGTGTAAGGTAGGGTGCTTGTTTATATGTCGAGGCAGTGAATGACTTGAAAAGAGGATTTCTCAATGCACGATTTAGAGGTTCAGCATTTAATTCCAGCAGAGGAAAGGCAATTAGACTATGGATGATTATGCTTTGGTTGATGGAGTAACGAGACTTGAAATTTTTGAGCGTGGTGGATATTTCGTTGTGATGTGGTTTCCTCGTCCTTCTTTGAACGCATTACGGTTTGCCGACATTATGGTCTTCTTTGATTTTGCCTTCGGGGCAGGGTGTGGTGAAATGGTACCTGAGAAGCGGTTGTGAGAGATAGTAGGGTGTAGCGGTTTTAGAATCGAAAGAGTGTTTCTAGTGTTGATGGCTCGAGAAAGATGATCTTCTAGGAGGTTTAGAGTTGGTAGCAATTAATTAGATCTAGTGCTATAATTATGGATTTGATTTGAGGAAACATTTGGGAACCGAAGTATGAGGAAGGACATGTCGGGAGGTGTCTAGCGGCAGATGAGTTACTAGCAGGTCGAGTATGAGAAGCGGATGTCGAGAAGTTGCTTAAAGGAGATAGTTTGACCGAAGTAGGAGTGGCAGAGTAGCATATGGATCATATGGAAGGATAACCACGTACCTTGAGGAATATTTGAGTGATTTGGAAGGCATAGTGGGAGTGACTAGGTCCACGAATTATAATTGGAATGGTGGTTACTGTATAGAGAAATATTGAATATGGCAGAGAGGAGTTTGCTTGAAATAAAGAGGGGTGTGAAGATTTTATTATCGTTACGGATGCAACATAGTTTTGAGTTTGGAAGGTACTGTTGAACTTTTAGTTGATGTCAGCGGGGAAGGAACATGCTTGTACAACTGGTGGATGAGCATGGGCTCAGGAGAATTTACTGATTATGTAGTAGTTGTAACCAGTGCAACATCGTTGGAAGATGTCAGCATGGAATTCCACAGGTGGGTTATCTCCTGTGGGTAGGTTAGCGGTTGCGTGATATTGACGAAGCTTCTGCGAATAATACTACTTGCTACCCGGTAAGAGGTCAAATATGTGATTGTGACTGATGATTCAGAATGTTCATGAAAAGCTTAACCAAAGACTTCGAGAAATTTGGCGGGTTAACGGTACGAGATCATGGTAAATGAGAAGGAGGGATCGTTGTGGGCTCTACATTATGTGATGGTAGCTTAAAGATAAGTGGGGGAGACCCACCGTCTACGATTGGATCGCGTGGATGTCGTCGTGTGCAATTTCTGGTTATCGGTGCATTAGTGGATTATTTGTGACTAAGAAAAGGAAACATTAGGGGTAATTTGAGCAGAGAAATTGATAAATGTGTGTTATATTCCGCCTTATCGATTCATGTGTAGGTTTTGGGAAGATTCAGAGTTTACGCTTTGTGGATGTGATGTACAAATAAAGGAATTCATCCGGTTGCTTCTTTCAGAGGGTGTTCATGCTCTAGCAGAGCATTGGAGTTTGGTTATGTTCGAGATCAGGTCAGAGTGGGTGACTCTCAACCACGGTCCTAGTGGATTCAAGAATTTAAGTGCATTGCTTAAGAATTTCGGGTCTGTTGTGTGGTTAAGGATCGAGTTTTTGCAGTGGATTGTGAACGGAACTTGGAATGTTCTATGTCATCATCGGGTATGCGACACAATATTCGAGTAAAGGAAGAAATA